TTTTTATATGAAATATAAACCTCACAATTTTGTATATTAAAACTATACAAGGGCCACAACCAATGTCATTTCAATTGCCTTTTCAACCACATAAAGGCAAACCTACCCTATTCAATTGTCCATAGAAGATTTTGCCCTTGAGAGCGAGGGATGGTACCCCAAAAAAATTCATAATAAGGTGAGCATTTTAGGGACAATGCTATTAATGCTGGTAGGACTCTTGTCAAAATGAATCTACTTTGTATTATTAGTGAAAATATATAAATAAATAAATTTATTTATTTTTAACAATATTACTTTTTTATATAATTCAAAATATCTTGCCGTCACTTGAGTTTGAAGCTGAAGTCCTTACGAATCATACAATCTTTGGGAAGTAATAAACAATAACCTTTGGTTATTTAGGTGTTCATGAAATAACTCGAACATCAAATAATATGGGAGTAAACTTCAACTGGCCTCTCATTGATATATTTTTTTTTTTTTTCTAAAATATTACTTACAAATATAAATTAAACTTTTGAAAGTCATAAGTAAATCAAATCATTTCAAGAGATCAATCTGACTAAGTTAACTATAAAAATTTAGAAGATTGGTTTTGTCACATCTTACGTCACTAACAAATGAGAACTTAAGTCAACTTATAAATCTTAGGTTCTCTCAATTAACCGTACGTTTTGTATAAAGTGATGATTATGTAAAATTCAAAGGTAAATTCGTTAAAATTGAGTACAAAGCAGATAAAATTTACATGACTGGACCTATAACATGCAATACAGTTATAGTGTTTTCTTTGAAAATGTTTTAGAATCAAAGTTGAAATTAGAAATTTCTAATAGGGAAAGGCAAGGATTGGGTGAGAAAATGAGTAAAATTTGAAGAGATTTATAGAATATTCCATTAAAACTAAATATATGGTATACGATATTCGATGTTCACTCACTTCTTTAAAAATCAATACACCTAATTCCTCCCCTATTAATAACCAAAAATATAATTGACGTAACCTTGGCCGAGGGACCAACCTCATAAAAATAAATAAATAAAATAAAAACTTAATTTAAATGAAAATAGTCTATCAATCAAAACCCACAATTATTTGACACGTTTTTCATCATCAAATTCCACAATTAAGACGTTTAGATATATATTTTTTGTCATTTTTAAGATATTTTATTTAGTAAAAAAAAAAATTCTCGTAACAAAGTCAAAATATAGTTTACTATATAGTTTGTAGTTCCTAATTTATTATTTTATTTTTTGAATTATTATCTCTATTAAGTCCAATTATTTCAATTTTATTCCTTCTCACATACCCATATAATTAATTTTTAAATAAATCTATAAACAAGTGAAATCTAATTCTTTGGATTGCAAATTACTTCATTGTAAAGACCAATTCTAGCATGTTTTAAATAGGAAAAAACACATGTTAATTAACAAGAAAATATGTGAAATTTTATATTTGAGAAAATCATGAAAGAAGTTTCACCTAGATCTAATTTAATATTCATGTGAAAAGGAAATTTCTGATATTGTAATCAATATAAATTTTGTCTTTTTGTCTTAGTACATAGCATAATTAATCATTTGAAACCTTAATACTAAAGTCACAATTGGCAACCCATTTGTTTATTCAGTGTTAAAAACAAATTTGATATGGTGAGATGTGACTTGGAATTTAATCACAATTGTAATGTGGCTTAAAACAACAACAAGTAGTTGAAATGAATAGTAGATTAGGTTAAAAATCGCCTTTTTTAAACTAGATTCGAAATCGGAACCTTCATTCTATAATTATCATAATGTGAAAAAAGATGGTTCTTAGTCAAGCAGGTGTTCGTGAAGGGATATGAACCCTGTAAGCTCATTTAATATTTGGTTTAATTATTTTTTTTGGAAGGACCAAGGTCAATCCAAAACTATATAAATCTAACAACGTTAATTAAATTGGACCAAGGTCAATCCAAAACTATATAAATCTAACAACGTTAATTAAATTGAGAAAATAAATTAAAAATTCAATCCAATTCAATACACTTTGAAATAATTAAGAAAACGGGAAGATTATTACAATATAGGGAAAAAAAATCCATTAATTAAATTAATTCTACTAACCCAATTGATCACATTGTTAAACAAATGGATTTGAAAAACTAAAAATAGAAATTTGCAAGGGAAAATGTTAGGTAGTTGATACCAAACAAATCAAATCTCAAGAAGAAAAGGAAATTTCCAAAAAAAAATAATAATAATAAATAATGCCATAATTTTCTGATCCCACAAATAAAAAATTTGAGATTTGAAGAGATTATGAAGCTCTAACAAACTACAAGAACACAATTATGCAATAATTAATTGTTAATTAATATGAGTAGAACTAAATCTTATAATTAAAATGTGTAGTGGAGTTAGTTTACAAATCTATATCTCCAACAGAAGTATAAGAGTTAAAATAAAAATTAAATAATTGAATAAAAACAAAATAATCTTTTTATAGATTGAATGATGAGAGCAATTTTAATATTTATTTCTGGGCCAATTATTGTATCTACTAAAACTTTGTCACATGTGTGAAAATATATCTTATAATATAAAAAAAAAACAAAAAACAAAAAATTCAATGAATAGACCATTTTATGAAAACCCATGATTTATTGACTTGTTTTTGCTGGCATGATTTGTGATGCAAGTGGAATCTTTTTGCTACATGCCAAAACACCACCCACTAAAGGTTTCTATTTTTACTCTCTTTATCTTTATTTTTTAAAAATAAACATTTACTTCACAAACTACATTATTTTATAGAAAATTACATCAATAAATAAGAGATTTATGTAATGAGTCTTACCTTAACGAATTTTTTAATTTAAATATATAAATACATGAAGTAAAAATAAATAAATAAATAAATAAGTTACAAACAAATCTTAATATATCTATAAAGCCAACATTCATTTGTATGTAAGAGAATATGTGGTTGGCATCTAAGGATTCTTTTTATCTTTTTTTTAATTATTTATTTAATAATTGAGATATTCAAGCATAATTGTCAGGCGGGCCTGCCTAATTCTTAGCGTCACAGAACACCCTCTACAAGCTCAATAGACTAAGGTGGTTGCACAATTATGATTATCCTGCGACTCAACACAAAATTTATAGGTATAACTAATTATAATGACTAAAGGGTTTGTCATTCGACCACAAAGGGAGAGCTCGAAGGATTCTCTAGGTGATGTGAAAATATATTCTTAAAGGTATTTCTTGTGTTATTGAAGACCAGTTTTTCAGTAGTGTTATTTAGTTCTTAACATAATTCAATTATTTTGACGAGAAAAAAAACTTATAGAAATTTGAAAAAAGAATCATGTTTAACATACGTAACCCTTTTTCTAATTTCCCTCTCTTGATTAAGACATCCAATTTTGAATAATGAAAGACTAAATAATAAATTGAGATAAAATAATTCTAAGTATCATAAATTCAACACAACCGTTTGTAATCTCTTTGGAAAGATTCAAAATTGAAATAATCACTTAAAAACCCCATATCCAAAAAGGAACCTTAAGATTTGAAAGCAAAAAGCTAAAAATCACTTGTAGACGAAAGTGCTTTTCCTAGTCTGCAAATTCCACTTAAATTTAGGCATCATTATTTTATATAAATGGCATTGAACAACATAAAGGCATATCATAGAGTGTTAAAATACATACATAAATAAAGACAAAAAATTAAACAAGCGTTAACGGCATACAATAAGATGTGGACGTAGGAATACACCAAGAACATTTTAGAAACTTAATTGAACGTTGCCCATTTTCCATTTTTATGGGGCCCCCCCTCAACCCCATGCTTCTCGTCTTTTTCCTTTTATAAATAGGACTAAATGGCCTTTTCCCATCCAAATAATAGTTTAATGACATATTCTTACCCGTAAACTTTTAAAATACTACTTTATTACCTAAACTTATATTTCATTTCTGATTCTAGCATCGTTTCGACTCTACGCCACCACTATTCTCTTTTCTGATCACCACTCACCAAAATCCCTCAAACTCTACTCCCGTCGACCCCGCCAATCGTCGGCAATTGAGCGATTAGGGTTTGCATAGTCGCCCCTCCCAAGTCAAGTTCCGATTAATCACAACCATCGAAATCCAACCTTCCAATACCAAAAGACTCATCGGCCTACTCTCTTCAAAAACCCCAACAGTCTAGATTGAGTTTGCTCTTTGTTCGTTACCAGAATATAAGTTTTGATAATAAAGTTGTATTTTAAAAGTCTGTAAGTGAGAAATTGTCATTAAACTATTATTTGGATGGGAAAAGGTCTCATTAACACTTAACTCTATAAATTGTTTTTGTTTTTGCTTTAGTTAATATCTCAATTTGATAATTAATTTATCAACATTACAAGACGACGGTGTAATTACATAATTAATCTTACTTAATAATCTTCCTAACTACTTGGTTGATTTCATTTAATTAGGTATTTAGGTCCAAAATTGAATTTAATTTGACTAGGATACATACTACAATCCTTCGTGATGTAACACGGTATGATTGGTGGGTTTTATACACTTTATGGTAGGATAAATTTTCTTATGTCATACGCTAATTTAAAACAGAAGAAAAAATTCTTCCAAAATTACAAAATTAATTGGGTGTTTTTTTTTTTTAATATATTCAGTATATATATATATATATTTTGGAAGGTCAATGAAATTAAATAAACGTACATTCTTCAAGTATTAAAAAATGTAATCAATTAATTAAAAACTCCAACTCTCTGTTAGTAAGTTTTTGTCATGGTGAAAGGATGGTAGGTTAAGGGTCACTATGTATGGAGCGTATTCTCTATTCCTCTACAAAAACCCTTTTCTTCACTCTTCTCTTCTCCATCTCTCTCTCTCTCTCTTTCTCTCAAACCCCTTCTCTCTCTCCTCTCTCTCTCTTTTCTCCGCCATTGCTCTCTTCTGTCTGTTTTGACCTCATTTTTCTTCTGATCATGACACAACTTTCAGAACCCAAGTACTTCCCCTCTGAAGCTGAAAGTACCAGCAACTCTTCTTCCTGTTCACCTCCTTCACCATCTTCATCCGGGTTCTCTTCACAATCCCACCAAACTTCCCCCTCTCACTTGTCCACTCACTCCGAACCCGGTAAACGACCAGCTAAAAGACCAAGATCAGCGGCAAGTGACACCACACCTGCCTCAGGGAGCAAACACCCGGTTTACAGAGGAGTAAGAATGCGGAGTTGGGGCAAATGGGTATCCGAAATTCGTGAACCGAGAAAAAAATCTCGCATTTGGCTTGGAACTTTCGCCACTCCAGAAATGGCAGCCAGAGCTCATGATGTTGCAGCTTTAAGCATTAAAGGCGACTCCGCCGTGCTGAATTTTCCTGAACTTGCAGAGCTTTTACCTCGCCCATTGTCGCTTCTGCCACGCGATATTCAATCTGCAGCCACTAAAGCTGCTTCAATGATAAAGTTTGATTCTTCATCATCACAGTCACAATCACCGTCACAACCACCGTCGTCATCAGCTGACGTGTCAGCGGAATCAGAGGAGCTGGGGGAGATTGTGGAGCTACCAAACATAGAAGGGAGTGGCTTTGAAGTGATCTCAATTGACTTGTTTGACGGGTGGGTGTATCCTCCAGAAGAATTTTCCAGCGAATTTTCAGAGCAAATATTCGGAGCAGAGTGCCTGATTCCAAGCAACTTTGAAGCTTGTTCTTCAGTTTGGGACTAATTTAATTCTGCAAAATTGGTGTTTAGCAGCTATAATTAATTTAGTTTGTTTATAATTTTCTACTTTAATTAATTGCTGACCGCCGGACTTCAATTATTGTATCATAACACAAAATTTTATGCAAATATACACCATAGCTATTAGTACATCTAATACTCAAAAAAAGACAAAGTAGTTCCACTTGGGTCATCACTTTTCTCCTTAAATTCTGCATTTTTTTCTTTTTTTTTTTTGTCCTTCTTTGATTCAATCTTTAGCACATGAATATTCTTGTTTTGTTAATGTAAGTAATTAATCAAAACCCCTACTAAATTATTTTATTTATTTTTATATTATAAAGTTTGGAATTTGGATTCTGAAGAATAGAACAAACTGAAGGAAAGTACTGTTTTGGAAGTTGAAAAGCATATGACATATACATATGAACAAAAAAATATGTGCCGTTGCCAGGTTTTTGGAAATTCAGAGACTTTCATGAGAATGTAGACAACATGTTCGACAAATTGCAGAAGACAGAGAGAGAGATCCCTTTTATTTTACTTTTTATTTTACTTTAAATTAGCTGAATTTCTCTTGTTTGATTTTTATTTTTTATAATTTTTTTTTTTTTTTTAGATATTTCCTCAGAAAAGGCTAAAAAAAACCTGCAATTTTTTCTTACCTAACGGAGTGCAGTTTATGCCAAGAAGATTCAAACAAGTCCAGAAAGAGAGAAAATATCTAAAGATAATAATAAGAAAAAAGGGTTTTGGCTTTTAATCATTTCAACCACAGACCACTAACTAACTTTCAAATTTGATTACTTTGAAAGTAAATTAAAATAAAATAAAATTCATATTTTCTATAACTACTAGTTTTTAAATTTTAATTACCACTAATTTTTTTTTTTAATTAATCAGTAAAAACTAAATGTAAGCTTGATATATAATCGTTTTACCTTTAGTTTTAGAAAGCTAACGCTAACATCTCTAAATAAAGGTTTTATCAACGATGAAAGTAATATTTTGAAGAAACGTATGATAGTTTTGATCAAACGATTGACTAATTTCACATTAATATGAACGATCAACCTTTTTGTTAAAAATTTCAAGTTGTTCGACAAAAAATACTAATTATTTATTCAAGATATTTTTTATTTTTTTAATTTCTACAACTATTATTTATTCCAGAAAGAGAGACAATAACAAGAAAAAATGGCGGCTTTTAATCTTTTCAACCACTTACTTACGGTCAAATTTGATTACTTTGAAGGTAAATTAAAATAAAATAAAATTCATATTTTCTACAACTACTAGTTTTTAAATTTTAATTACTACTAAATTATTTTTTCTTAATTAATTAGTAAAAACTAAATGTAAGCTTGATATACAAACGTTTTACCTTTAGTTTTAGAAAACTAACGCTAACATCTCTAAATAAAGGTTTTATCAATGGTGAAAGTAATATTTTGAAGAAACGTATGACAGTTTTGATAAAACGACCGACTAATTTCACATTAATCTGAACGATCAACCCTTTTGTTAAAATTTCCAAATTGCTCAACAAAAAATATTAATTATTTATTCAAAATATTTTTTAATTTTTTTTTAATTTCTACAACTATTATTTATTCCAAAAAGTGAGACAATAATAAGAAAAAAGGGCGACTTTTAATATTTTCAACCACTTACTTACAGTCAAATTTGATTACTTTGAAAATAAATTAAAATAAAATAAAATTCATATTTTCTACAACTACTAGTTTTTAAATTTTAATTACTACTAATGTTTTTTTAATTAATCAGTAAAAACTAAATGTAAGCTTGATATATAAACATTTTACCTTTAGTTTTAGAAAACTAACGCTAACATCTCTAAATAAATGTTCTATCAACGGTGAAAGTAATATTTTGAAGAAACGTATGATAGTTTTGATCAAACGACTAACTAATTTCACATTAATCTGAACGATCAACCCTTTTGTTAAAAATTCCAAATTGTTCGACAAAAAATATTAATTGTTTATTCAAAATATTTTTTATTTTTTTAATTTCTACAATTATTTTTTATTGTAGACACGGAGACAATAGTAAGAAAAAATGGCGGCTTTTAATCTTTTCAACCTAGTAAGAAAAAATGGTGGCTTTTAATCTTTTCAACCACTTACTTATAGTCAAATTTGATTACTTTGAAAGTAAATTAAAATAAAATAAAATTCTTATTTTCTACAACTACTAGTTTTTAAATTTTGATGACTACTTAATTGTTTTTTTAATTAATCAGTAAAAACTAAATGTAAGTTTGATATATAAACGTTTTACCTTTAGTCTTAGTAAACTAATGCTAACATCTCTAAATAAAGGGTTTATCAATGGTGAAATAATATTTTGAAGAAAAGTATGAAGGTTTTGATCATACGAGTAATTAATTTCACATTAATAATACCTGAACAATCAACTGTTTTGTTAAAAATTCCAAATTGTTTGACAAAAAATTTTAATTGTTTATCCAAAATATTTTTTATTTTTTTAATTTCTACAACTATTATTTATTACAGAAAGAGAGACAATAATAAGAAAAAATGGCAGCTTTTAATCTTTTCAACCACTTACTAACAGTCAAATTTGATTACTTTGAAAATAAATTAAGATAAAATAAAATTCATATTTTCTACAACTACTAGTTTTTAAATTTTAATTACTACTAATTTTTTTTTTCTTTTTTATTGATAAGTAAAAACTAAATGTAAGCTTAATATATAAACGTTTTACCTTTAGTTTTAAAAAACTAACGCTAACATCTCTAAATAAAGGTTTTATCAACGGTGAAAGTAATATTTTGAAGAAACATATGACGGTTTTGATCAAATGATCGACTAATTTCACATTAATAATACCTAAACGATCAACCGTTTTGTTAAAAATTCCAAATTGTTCAACAAAAAATATTAATTGTTTATTCAAAATATCTTTTTTTTTTTTTTAATTTCTGCAACTACTATTTATTCTAGAAAGAGAGACAATAATAAGAAAAAAGGGTTTCTGGGTTTTAATTTTTTCAACCACTTACTAACTTTCAAATTTGATTACTTTGAAAGTAAAATATAATAAAATAAAATACATATTTTCTACAACTACTATTTTTAAAATTTAATTTCTATTAATTTTTTTAATATTATTAATCAGTTAAAAACTAAAATGTATGCTTAATATATAGAGGGTGCAAAAACTTTCACCTTAGTTTTAGAAAACTCAACTAACATCTCTAAATAAGGTTTTGCAAATGATCGACTAATTTTATATTAAAATGTTAAACGATCAACCGTTTAGTTTAAAATTCCAATATTTGATAAAAAATATTAATTATTATTCAAAATATCTTTTATTTCTTAAACTATTACATTTAACTAATAATAACGATACTAGTGCGTGGTATAAACTTTATATATTAAAGTCAAAGATTGAAAAATTGTAAATGACTTAGAATATTATTTCTATGTATGCGCATGATCATAATCTAAAAAAAACTATTAAAATAATTCTGTAGTTGCAAAATTAAAATTATAAGTCAATGTTTCCCGAAGTTAATAACTTTGAGATCTAGAATAATCAAACACTATAAAGATGAAATGCCTAATTTAATTAACATTAGAGCTCATTTCTTCTTCCCAAATCCCACTTATCTTTTCTCCAATCATATACAAATGGAATCTAGGAAAATCGAAGAGAAAAATAAATAAATATGTTATTTATTTTATGTTAAATGTAAAGATAGAATAAATATTAAAAAAAATATATAGGTCATAATTATTTAATTTGTGAATGTTTTGCATGAATCACATGAACATCCTTTACCTATCATAGAAATTGTGAGTACGCTGATATCAATTGTAATAAGTAATTATTGATTAGGTTCGTATATATTCGTTTTCGAGTTTCAAACAGGCATACTCGCTCAAAACATGTTAATTAAGTCAGAGTTCTAACAACAAGATTTCGTAGTTGATAACTTTCAACAAATAACAACAAGTTAGAATAATTTTACAAAGCGTTTACTTTGTAATAGTTTTAACTAGTGCACTCAAATTCCATGTGAAACAAGGCAAACTAGTTAGAATTAAAACATTATATACCCACCTGGTAGCTCAGGTGGTAAGAGCGCTGGGATGTGTAATTAAGACACACGATCTAAGTTCGAATCTTCTAACTTCTAGGATTTAAACAAGTGATATGTCATTATAAAGATTAGTTGATAAGTCACAAACTGGTGTGAATGCCCTGTTTAAAAAAAAAATAAATAAATAACGAGAAAAACTATAAATTAAAGCACACACCACAATGAGCCAAAGTTTCTTGCTCCCATGTCAATGTCAAGAACCATAGCCCTATGTTTTTGGGTTTACTTTTTGGAGACATAGAGACATTATATTATAATTCAATTATGAAAATGACTTGCCTTCTTTGCCTGTTTGAATATGACATTTTCCTGTATGTAATAGTACATTCACTATGCTACCAATAACGTAACATTATGGACTCATCGTGATCGTTGGATCAATACTATGTTATATTAACTTAATCTAACAATTTCATTGATTTAATAATATAACAACGTTATCGAATCATTCTTTGTAACACTTGCCATTATTAAACAATTCTATATAGTTTGCATTTATTCAAGTTGCAAATTTGATATTACAAAAAATGTTGGTGTTTGCAGACTTTTTGACGAACAGTTTGTACGACCTGTCACACTATTGTCGGGATCTAACAGTCAAGCTCGCCCCATGTGTATCCCACAGCAGATAACTTCATCAACAAGATTATCAGGTGCTCAGACTAAAGCATGAGAAGGTCTGACTTAGATTTGGGTTACAAGAGATTATGCGTGTAATCCACCCGGTAAAATCACTCTCAACCACTGTCAAATGTGTGTGTATAAAGGGAGAAACAATCTCCGTTTTGGGAATCGATTACTCACAGAAGCATAGAAAACCACTTAGAAAGAGGGTTTTAATCTCGTTTACATGTTTTATTTGTAATCACTCTATGTGTAAAACAATATAAAAGCGATAATATATAGTGGACTTAGGTTTGATTCTAACTCGTTAAACCACTTTAAAAACCTTCTTTGTTCTTCTCTTGTGGATATT